TGACAGGGCCAGGCCCAGGGGACAGGGATTTTGACTGGGGCTTTAACAGCACTGTTGATGCCAATCTCGGGCAAAAACCTGATATTTCCACTTGGAATAACAAGAAACAGCCAAGAGGATTGGAGAGAGGTCGGTGAACAAGGAGAGCCCTCTGCAGGTCTTGCCGGGTGATGCCAGAACAGAGGAGGGCAGTCCCTGCTGGGCAGGGTACTCCTGAGACAGTGATGGTGATGGTGGTAGTGGTAGTGGCAAGGAAAGGGAAGAAAGAGAAAAACAAAATGCCAGACTTTAAATAAACAACTGTCAAGAAGTAGATACTGGGGCTGGTGAGATGGCTCAGCGGTTAAGAGCACTGACTGCTCTTCTAGAGGTCATGAGTTCAAATCCCAGCAACCACATGGTGGCTCACAACCATCTACAATGAGATCTGATGCCCTCATATGGGTGTCTGAAGACAGCTACAGTGTACTTACATATAATAAATAAATAAATCTAAAAAAAAAAAAAGTAGATACTGTGGTCAAAATATGAAACGTCTCTTCCTAGGGCTCGGGTGTTGGAGATTTGAGCCCCAGCGTGTGGTGCTAGTGAGAGGTGACTTTGTTGATGGGTTAAACCGTGAGGAGGTAAGCAGTGGACTGTAAGGTGAGAGCTGAGGAAGTAGGTCACCCAGTGATGTGCTCTCAATGGTGGGTCTCAACCTTCCCAATACTGTGACCTTTAATACAGTTCCTTGTGTTGTGGTCACCTCCAACCATAAAATTATTTTCATTGCTACTTCATAACTGTAATTTTATTACTGTTATGAATCATAATGTAAATGTTTCTGGAGCTAGAGGTTTGCCAAAGGCGTCACAACCCACAGGTTGAGAACCACTGCTCTGAAAATCCCACCTCCTCTTCTTTCTCTTCCTCTCTTCTTGCCTCTCTTTTTTCCCTTTCCCTTGAGCTCCCCACTTTTGGCTTCTCTCTCCCTACTCCCTGCCTCTCCACTCTCCATGAGATCTGCTTTCCCCTGCTATCTATCATGATCTTCAATCTCCTATGGCCCAAGAAAAATAGAGACAAACAACCCTGGACTGAATTCCTCCTCTTTTAAGTGTAGCTTGGGTGTTCTGTCACAGCAATGAAAAGCAACCAATAGGACATAGCTAGTCTTGTCTCTTAGATTTAAAAAAAAAACTAACATTTTACAAATGTAATGGATTATGTCTGTAACCCCAGATCTAGGGAGGCAGAGGCAGGAGGATCCACTGCAGGTCCAAGACTGGCCTGGACTATGTTGTGAACTCCTGGCCTGTCAGGGAGTCATAACAAGACTCTGAAAAAAAAGAAGAAAGAAAAAAAAGAAGGAAAGAAAAAAGGAGGGAGAGAGAAAGAGGGGGAGAGGAGAGAGAAAAAGAAAGTATGTAGGGGGAGGGGAGGGGGAAAGAAAGAAAAAAGAATATATGAAGTTATTTGCTCAAAGTCATGCATCTGCCATCAGATACAGTGGGGTCTGAACTCAAGCCATTGCCTCTGAAGCTTATACTACCCCATACACCTGTCGTATCTCAGCACGTTTCAGAAACTTCTAGCCTTCTAATGTGCCATTGTTTCTTCCTGTTCTTTCTAGTTATGTGTCCTTGCAATGTTAAAGCCTGGGGGAGGGGGTGGATAGAAAATATCTTGTGCATAACAATATTGGTGATAGTAACAACACCAGCTTGAATTTATTTTTTTATAATATGGAAGAACAGTTAGTGCTCTTAACCGCTGAGCCATCTCTCCAGCCCAGTTTCTTAATTTTTATCAGTTATTTTGTAGTATATGAGTACTACTGTAGCTGTCTTCAGACACACCAGAAGGTTTCAGATCCCATTACAGATGGTTGTGAGCCACCATGTGGTTGCTGGGAATTGAACTCAGGACCTCTGGAAGAGCAGTTAGTGCACTTAACCACTGAGTCATATCTCCAGCCAGTTTCTTAGTTTTATCAGTCATTTTGCAATTGTTTTTATATAGCCATAATCACCTTGTACAGATTTTTTTAACAATTTATTTATTTATTTTATGTATATGAGTACATTGTTGCTGTCTTTCAGAAACATCAGAAGAGGGCATCAGATCCCATTACAGATGGTTGTGAGCCAGTATGTGATTGCTAAGAATTGAACTCAGCGCCGGGCAGTGATAACACACGCCTTTAATCTCAGCACTTGGGAGGCAGAGGCAGGTGGATTTCTGAGTTCAAGGCCAGCCTGGTCTACAGGGTGAGTTCCAGGACAGCCAAGGCTACACAGAGAAACCTTGTCTTGAAAAACCAAAAAAAAAAAAAAAATGAACTCAGGACCTCTGGAAAGGCAGCCAGTGAGTGCTCTTAACTGCTAAGCCATCTTTCCAGCCCCCTTGTATGAATATTTTATGTCTTGATTTCCTTCCTTCCTTCTTTCCTTCTTTCTTTCTTTCTTTCTTTCTTTCTCTCTTCCTTTTCTTTTGAAGACAATTTTCTCAAGTGACTGTGGCTGGCTTTGAACTTGATGTATTCATCAGCCCAGGCTGGTCTTGAACTCTAGCTTCTATTTATGTGGCAGCACTGTGTACATGCACACTCACATGCATAACACAGTGAAGGCAGTGGGTTTGCAGTAACCTATTATACTGAGTGCTGCAGATGCCACATTCCTGCGCTGATGAAGCTCTAGAAGCTGACAGCTCTGAATGCTGGCAAGGATGTAGAGCAACAGGGACAGGAATGTGTTGCTAGTGAGACTGCAAAGTGGTACAGACACTCTGGAAGACGGTTTGGCAGTCACCTGAAAAACTAAACATATTCTTCCCATATGATACTGCAACCATACTCCTTGGTATTTACCACCCCCCAAAAGCTGAAAACTTGTCCAAATAAAAACCCTGCACACAGATGTTTATAGCAACTTTACTTGGAATTGACAAAAACTGGAAACAAAATGACTTTCAATGGCTCAATGGACAAATGAATAGTGGTACTTCCTGGCCATGGACTGTCACTAAGTACCAAAATGAGACAAGTTGTGGAACTATAAAAAGACACGGAGCAACCTTAAATGCACAAGTGAAAGAAGCCAATCCGAGGAGCTACCTACTGTATAATTCCAACTCCACGACATCCTGGAAAAGGCAGAAATATGGAAACAGATTTTTTTAAAAATCAAAGATTTCCCAAGGTTAAGAGGAAACTGGGATGACTGAGGGGCACAGAAGAAAGCATGCTGCACTGTCATGGCAGATGCATGCCCTTGTGGCCTGCTCCAGGCTTACAGCAAGAGGAACTACACCAAGAGAAAGCTCTAGTGTGAACTAGAGACCGGCGATCATGCTGTGCCAAGTTCAGTTTGTAAGTTGTAAACAAGCTACTATTCTCACTATGCCAGGAAGAAGACACACAGAAACTCTTAGTGCCCTCTCCCAGTTTATGTGTGTTTGTGTGTGTGTATACATCGGGGTGTGTGTGTCTGTGTGTGTGTGTGTGTACATGTATACATGTGTATACACGGAAGTCAGAAGTCAATGTGTTTCTATACACTCTCCACCTTAGTTTTTGAGACAGGGTCTCTCATTAAACCTGGATTTTACCAGTTCGGTGGGGCTAACCGGCCAGTGAGCTCCAGGCATCCTTATGTCTCTGCCTTCTCAGCTAGGATTACAAGTGTTTGTCGCCATGTCCTGCATTTTACATGGATACTGAGAATCTGAACTCAGATCCTCATTAGCAGGACAAGCCATCTCCCCAGGCTCTTCTCTTAATTTTTTTTCTCTTGCTGTACAATTAAAACTACTCTTTGAAGAGGTCTTTTATATATGTATGCCTATATTCCCAGCCCTTAGGAAGCAGAGCCAACCTGGGCTAGAGAGTAAAACCTGGGATTGGGGATGAAGAACACCGAACAAACAAAACATTACAAGTCTTGAATGAAGAGCCTGAGGGCAGTGACAAGACACATGACTCCCCTATCTCTGTCCAGCTCTGGAACTCAGTAGGCTTTTCCCATTTTCCTCATCCACAAATAGAAAAAAGAATAGCTGTCTCACAGGATTGTCACAGGAATTAAATGAGATGCTGCTTGACAGATTAGCAGTAGTAGCATGTAGCAGCAGTCCTGTGCAACTCTGCGTCTTTCCACCAATGGCATCAGAAGCTGCTTCTGTGCAGGGACCTCTTCATTTCATAATTGCCTCTACCTAGCACAGCACGTAGCATTTGAGCCCCCCTAGGTCTGTCGGGTTGATAGTGAGAGCTAGCCTAAACTTTTCTCTCCGATGAACATTTGAGGGGTTTCTTAATTTTTTGCTATTAGCAAAATACATCTCAAAACCCTTTTATTTATATTGCCTAACTTGATCTGCCTCACAGGTGAAGCAGGCAGAAGAGGGCTGTTTGCCCATGCCCACACTCTGAGACAGTCAGAATTACTCTGGCTTAGAGAAGTGAAGGGACTTCTATGGGTCACATGTATATCAGTGCCGATGAGATGGCGCCTCTGGCCCTGCTTCTCTAGCCCCTACCTCCACAGACCTCTCTCTGGCTACTGCCTTCTGCATCAGAGGTCTCTTCAAAAATGCAGCCTTGTCATGCTGGGCCTGGTCCATCTGAGAACAGCACCTTCACCCAGTGGTCCCTGCTGGGGATCATGAACTGCAAACTCCCCTGATGGCCCCTAAAATCAAATAGCTTATTTCCAATGCCTCTATTTTCCCAGAATGAGGAACATGCCAGGGTTTTTTCCCCTTGCTTTCCCCCTATAAAGAGGTGAGGAGATGACTCTCGGTGTCCAGGAGGAGGGACTTTGGCTAAAAATAGCTGTGGCGTGTGGATTAGCCAGAGTGGTACCCAGGACTGGGAAAGGGAGGGGACGCTGTGGAGCTGTAGCCAGACTGGTTGCCATAGAAACAAGAGAGGAGCAGGGGAACCTGGGAAGTGGGGATGACACAGATACCAAGTCCTAGTCTGAGCTGCCGTTACATTCAGGAGAAACAGCAGTGTCTGCGGCTCCCACTCTCAGAGGGGACCTAGAGTACTGAGGGAGATGGTATCAGGGACATGGACTCCAACCCCCAAGGGTCTCTGCTGCCGGCTACTCTTCTCTACAGGCTCTGTGAGTTGAGTTGTGGGACTTGGGGTTTGGGCCCCTATTTCTGAGCCAAGAGGGGTTTGGGTGGAGCTCGTTCCTAAGGGAGTCTTCACCAGACAGACCTCTTTCCAAAAGATAAGCCCCCTATACTGGTCAGCACTCTCTAGAGGGAGGAAGAGTGCTCCAAGAAAATATGGTTGGGATCTTACCGAAAGGGGTCACAGCATGCCCAAGAACTGTGGTCGGAAGAACTGGAGTTATTTGGAGGGAAGAGCCAGAAATGAAAATGTTGCTCTTCAGGTGGTAGACATTGCACATTTTTCCTGTCCCATGAAGAAGAGACCCTTTCTCAGGATGGCAACAGCTAGGATCTAATCAGTAGGTTCCCTGGGCAGTCAGTGTTCTGGGGATGATCAGACACCAGGAATTCTTCGCCATCCTGGGCATAGATGGAGGTCAAAGAAGAATGTCTAGAAGCCCACCTGAAGCTAATACAAGGACAAAAGAGACCTGGGGTCTCAAGGCACTGAAAACTTGCAGATCAGTTGCAGAGGACATATACTCTGGGCTGCAGAGAGGGAAGAGCAAGCCTGCTTTTGGGGGAGGGGAAGATCTTAATCTGCCATTGCCAAAGTGTTCCCGGGCCATGTCTCCTGACTCTCATGGGAAGTAAGTGTGTGGGGTCCCCTTAGGATATAAACCATCTTTTTGTGGTTTTTCCTTCTACCTTTATTTAATGTACACACTCCCTCCAAAGGTCTGGCTGCAGAATAATTGGCTCCAAAATTTAAAAATTGGAATGTCGAGTTTGTGGTTACAGATCCATGCAGTTTCTCCCTAGGATCTGGTCAAACACTCAAACCATCTGAGATCTTTATGTCATATTTCTGCCCTCACAGGGCCTCCTGCTCCCCTCACCCCAGCCCGCCTGCCCCCCCTTCCCAAATGGGAGGAGATGACAAATCCTAGGAAAGAGAAAGGAAGGTTGATGAGTCCTAAATCCTTGTTCTACAGACTTCTGTTCATATGGTCCATATCTCTTAGGGGACCCTGAGAACCTAGAGGATTCTGGACATCCATCTCTCCGGGAAGATTATAACTCAGAGTGCTCCTCAGAGGGAAGAATTTGAAGCAAAACCAGGTGGGTTTTGCTTGGAATCTGGGCTTCGTGTGAAATGTAGGCTTCAGGACATATGGTAGGTGTGGGTGGGGTTGGTGTTAGGGTAGTATATGCAAAGCAGGAAACTGGGAAGGGGATTGATGTGGGTGTTTGGTGTTTCGATTGGTCTGATTTCTTATCTCTTAGGAAAAATAGGAATCTGAGAGATACTAGTCTAGTGTAACTCTGGATGGCCTGACACTTCCTTCATCCTTGCTGTGGGTAGTTGACCTCAGGTGGCCTCCAGTCTCCTATTGCCAACCCTTTTCACCATGTCTCCTTTGGGAAAGAGCCCCAGGGGAAATGGGCTGGTATCAGAGCATGAGTGACGTGCCAGTGGGAATTTCCTAATGCTGGGAACAGTCAACCTTTGCACGCTGGAGGTTTTCTGTGCACAGCCTGTATTTCTTTCTTCTTGGTAAGTCTGGGGTGGAGAAAAGATGTAGAAGGAAGGGGAAAGGGTGAAGCCAGAGAGAAAACAGAGGAACAGTCTTGGTAGGACTTCAAAACAGTCTTCAGATGTCTTCTGGTAGGATGCTGAAGAGTTCTGGGGAAGGGATAATACCAGGGAAAGGGTGTGGAAGTCCTCGTGGCAGGGAGAGTTTTGCATAGAGAAGGAATTGTCAAGAAGTCCACCTCTTCAGAACCCCAATTGTCTGATCCAGGGTGCCTGTGAGGTGCTACGTACACCGGCTTGAGGTAGTGACGTTGAGATCTGTGACATCGAGATCTCTCTTTTTCCTTTAATTTTTGACATCGAGATCTCTAATGCCTCCTTCTTATTGAACTGTGACACTGTGTAATCCGTACAACTTTTTCTTAACCTTTGATTTTATTTTACGTGTGTGGCTGTTTTGCTCTCATGTACGTCTGTGCATTAACCTCGGAGGCCAGAAGAGGGCGAGAGACTGGAGTTACAGCCGGTTGTGAGTCGACTTGTGAGTGCTGGGAATCGAAATCAGATCCGCTGGAAGAGCAACCAGTGAGCCATTTGGGCCATCTCTCTAGCCCCCTGCACCACCCCCACACCCCCACAACTTTCTGAGCTTTGTGGGATGTTAGGGTTGTCGTTCTCAATCCATCAGTTGGGGGGAGGGGGGACTGAGGCTAATAGACAGGAAGGGAGATTCGTTCACAGCATTGACCCTGAGTTCGGGGCGGATCCATCAACTCGGCACACCTTTATTAAGACCCCGCAGGATCCCCGCTGCGGCCGCCATGGCGCAGGAGAACGCAGCTTTCTCTCCCGGGTCGGAGGAGCCGCCGCGACGCCGCGGTCGCCAGCGTTACGTGGAGAAGGACGGACGCTGCAACGTGCAGCAGGGCAACGTCCGCGAGACCTACCGCTACCTGACCGACCTGTTCACCACGCTGGTGGATCTGCAGTGGCGCCTCAGCCTGCTCTTCTTCGTGCTCGCCTACGCGCTCACCTGGCTCTTCTTCGGCGCCATCTGGTGGCTCATCGCCTACGGCCGCGGCGACCTGGAGCACCTAGAGGACACCGCGTGGACCCCGTGCGTCAACAACCTCAACGGCTTCGTGGCCGCCTTCCTCTTCTCCATCGAGACAGAAACCACCATCGGCTATGGGCACCGTGTCATCACCGACCAGTGCCCCGAGGGCATCGTGCTGCTGCTGCTGCAGGCCATCCTGGGCTCCATGGTGAACGCTTTCATGGTGGGCTGCATGTTCGTCAAGATCTCGCAGCCCAACAAGCGCGCCGCCACGCTCGTCTTCTCCTCGCACGCTGTGGTGTCCCTGCGCGACGGGCGCCTCTGTCTCATGTTTCGCGTGGGTGACCTGCGATCATCGCACATCGTCGAGGCCTCCATCCGCGCCAAGCTCATCCGCTCACGCCAGACGCTCGAGGGCGAGTTCATCCCTCTGCACCAGACCGACCTCAGCGTGGGCTTCGACACGGGGGACGACCGCCTCTTCCTCGTCTCACCTCTCGTCATCAGCCACGAGATCGATGCCGCCAGCCCCTTCTGGGAGGCATCGCGCCGCGCCCTCGAGAGGGACGACTTCGAGATCGTAGTCATTCTCGAGGGCATGGTGGAGGCCACGGGTGCGGGCAGGCTGGAGGATGGGAGCAGGGATACAGGGCAAGGACAAGAAAAGCAGCCAGGGGAGGCGCAGAAAGATGGACAGAGAGTGGAGTGCAGGGTGACAGGCGGCAGATGGGGGTGCTGGGGCAGGACTGGAGATGAAAGGGGTGGACAGGGTGACTTTGTAGAGTCAAGAAAAGCTTGGAAGAGTTCTATGAAATGGCACTAGTTGAGGCCCTGGCCTGACAGGTATGTCACTTCGAACGGCACTTTACATCTCTGAATTCATTTAAGGTTACTTGTCACTGTGCTCACTTTTCAGAGAATGAGTAGCCCCAAAGAAAGGCCCCATAAATAGCCTGCTGTCACAAGCCAATAAATAGCACAGCCTGGGTTGAACACAGGACGTCTATCTTCAGTGTTTCCTGGTACGGTGTTGGGATTTGGGATGAAGGTTAAGTGAAACCCAGAGATCTGTAACTCTGGAATTTAATTGAACTAAGTTATTTCCAAGGAAGCAAACATAAGGGTAGGGAGGGGATAACTGGTCTCATTTCTGTCCTCGTTACCCCGTCTGTCACTCTTAACTTCCCCTGGGTGTTGCCATTTCTAGCCCCTTTCCAGAAGGAACGTGATGTCAGTACCTTCACTCAGGCCTACACTGTCAAGAGGTTGGGAGCAGGTAGGAAAAGACTAGTGTAGGAGAAAAAAAACAGGTCCTTTAAGAGGGCCTAGCCATCAAGGAGCATAAGGAAAATGCAGGTGAACCAAGGGGCCACTAGGAGGAGCTGCAGCGCTGCTACGAACTGACTTGCGCCCTGGAAACCTGGTCCTAGACAAAAACAGCTTCTGCTCTGTGGCCACCTCAGGTCTTCCCACTCCCCACTCCTCCTTCACTCCGACTAGGCTGGTTCTAACTGGTCCCCTTCCTGTACTGCTCCCGCTGTCTCTGCAGCTGTTCCTCCCTCTGACACTATCTCTGGCAGGTTTCTAACAGGGACTTTTTCATCTGCCTTCTCTTCCCCCGCTCTGCCTCCACCTCCCACCCATCCCTACTCCCCTAAGCCGCATCTCTGCTTCTCAGGCCTTCTCCCTGCAGAGGCCCCGGTGGTCTCTCCTTCTCCACCCTCACTGGATACATCTTATTCTAGCTTTGCCAAAGAATACCAATGTCCCTAAGATGTCTCAGGGCCAGACTTTCAATGTCAGAGTTGGTCTCTGGTTAGTGAATGTTTACTTCTCTGTTTCTGAGATGGACTCTGGTTTGGGGAGATTCTGAGGAAGGAACAAAATAATCTGCCCTGAGAAGAGAGTGCAAAAACCCAACAGAGAAGACAGGACACAGGCCCAGGGCAAGAACTGGGAAGGGCAGTGTAAAGGACAGGGGGTTGGAGCTTGTTTGATTTTTCTAGCGATAAAGCTGAGAAGGATGGTAGTATTTTGGGATTCAAAGTGCTTTTGAAAAGCAAGAATAATGAGCCAAAACCCAACATGATGACATTTAAGGGGAATAAATATAAAATTCTACATTTAGGCTTTAAAAAAATCACTTATGTAAGCACAGCATGGAAAGGCTCTGGTGGAGAAAGAACTGGGGGTTTTAGTTGGCCACAGGCTTGCTGTAGCAACGTGATGCAGCTTCCAAAGGCGTTTATGTAATGTAATCACGGGCCGCTTCACTGAAGTAAGAAGCAAGAGATAGTGAGCCTTCTTTTCTGCATAGATAAGGCCACAGTGGGGAAAGCACTTCAGATGAGCCCTTACCTGGCCTCCGTGGCCATTCTGATTTGCGAGGAAGATAGTAAGCTTTGGGGGATCAGAAGAAGGAGGCAATGGTCGTGAGTGTTCAATCTGAGGAAGAGAAGATGTAAGGGACCCCTGTATTTACACTCAAGGGGGTATCAGGTGGCAAGGGAATGAAACCAGGGGGCACAGGTCCTAGGAGACAGGTTTTAGTTTGTATAAGAGATAACCCAGAGTCACAGAGATGGCTCAGCTTGCCACCATGCCTGATGTCCTGAGTTGAATTATCAGGTCTCATGTTGTGGACTCAACTGTCTCCCCAAGCTGTCCTCTGACCTCCACATACGCACACACGCATACATATAGACATACATGATGTTATCCACAGGTTTAAAGATCCCGACTTTTGGCACTATCACACAAAAGGCTGGACTTTAATGAGGTGGTGAGCTTTCAGTCCTGGGATGTAATAGCTCTGCTAGCTGCCCGTTGTCTGGGAACGCTGGGAGGTGGGTGGAGGTGGCCCTGTGGGAAAGGGGAAGTTAGCTTTCCTGTGGGAAAGGGGACATAGGCTGGCAAATGGAGAAGAGGGCTGACCAAAGAGAGGGAAGAGGATTGTGGGATGACCGACAGGAGAAGGAATCCCTTGGCAGGGGTCCCTTTGACTAATGCCTCTTCCCCTCCCCCCCAGGAATGACATGCCAAGCTCGAAGCTCGTACCTGGTCGATGAAGTGTTGTGGGGCCACCGATTCACATCTGTGCTCACCCTGGAGGATGGTTTCTATGAGGTGGACTACGCCAGCTTCCACGAGACCTTTGAGGTGCCCACACCCTCGTGCAGTGCTCGGGAACTGGCAGAAGCTGCAGCCCGCCTTGATGCCCATCTCTACTGGTCCATCCCCAGCAGACTGGATGAGAAGGTGGAGGAAGAAGGGGCTGGGGAGGGGGCAGGTGCAGGAGATGGGGCTGACAAGGAGCAAAATGGCTGCCTGCCACCCCCTGAGAGTGAGTCCAAGGTATGACTGGTTTTCTCCAACCTCCTGTGGCAGACCAGGGGGCCAGACACAGGTACATGGGAAGCTGTAGAGTGGATATGGAAGAAGAGGAGGCAGGTAGTGTCCCAAGGAATGGCTAAAGTTGGGGAGAGGCCCACTGAGTCCAGGATCCAGTAGGGAAGGACCAGGTCCTGGTTTGAAGAGACTAGAAGGTTGGGGGGTGAGAGAACGAATCAGTCTGTCTGTGTTTGACCTTCACATCTGTTCATGGGTGGATGGTTGGACAGAAGAGGAGCTCATGATGGTTGATTGGGAAGGTGGGGCAAATAGAGACAGCCAATGGATAGCGTGGGTGGTAAATGGATTGACAGTTGGCCACGTGCATCACACCTTTGTGAGAAATCTACAGGCAGCCTTTTCTTCCAGATATAGAAAGTCTCAAACTAGGATACATGGCTTATGGAGCAGGCTGTCAGGTGGATTGCAGTCCCCACTCACTCCCTCAACTGGCCTCCCTATGCGTGACATGCCTAACTAGACAAAGTGGCCACAGAGAAGAGAGTACTGGGTAGAGGTGAGCACAGATGTGGGTGCCCTCCCCAGCTTCACTGTTCCATGGTGATAGGTCAGAAAGGTTCCAAAGGCCTTAATCCTCCGGTCATAGGCAAACAAGCAGTGGGGATAGATGCTGAGCAGGGGCCCTGAAGCAGGACCCGGGGAGACCCAAGGACCAACTATTTTGTGGGAGAGGAATGCAACCTTGAAGGTACTATCACAGAAGCAAGAAGGCAGAGAGAGATTCTGAAGCAGAAGAAAAGCCATGGGAGAGACTTAATAAGCGGGTTTATGAGGGAACCCAGATCCCTGGGGAAAGTAGTTTATCCTTGGGGCACAGTGGCAGGGGCTCACTCAGAATAGTGACTAAGTGTCCGGTGTGATATTTAAAGACCGGTTCCTAACACAGGAGCACAGCACAGGTGGAGGTCAGAAATAACCCCAGCAACTAAAGGAAGTGTGGTTCACACTAGGAGCCCACACAGGCGGTTACAGCCACAAGTGAGAGGACATTAGCAACCAGGAAGCTAAGGATTGAGTCAGGCAGGGGGGAATGGCGGGAATCAGCATTTACAGAGCTTTACTCACCTGGATGGGCTTGTTAAAACACAGATTACCAGCCCCACTCCCAGCATTCTGACTCAATAGGTCTGGGACAGAAACCAAAACTCTGCACGTCTTGCTAGTTCCCAGACCTAACAGGTTCCTAGATCATGGTGACACTGTCTGTCTGGGGACTACAGCAGCCCAGGATCCTTTAGGAACAGAGAACTGTGAAGAGAACTGGGGAGAGAGGACCCAGGTCCAGGCTTGAAGAGCTTAACTTTGGGTCCAAGAACGAAAACGTCATTGATAACTGACCAGTGGCACCAGAGCGGGCAACAGAGACAGGAGAAGGCCATTTGGGGACCCCTGAGGAGGCAGTGGGGAACTGCAGCTCAATGGGTGTCACCACAAAGGACTGACTCTCTTATAAGACTCACAAGGCAAGACTGACTAGGGGAGAAAATGCAGCCTACACTTGCAGGTGTCTGCTGTCTGCCACCTGTCCTGCCAGGACAGGGAACCCTGGAGACACTTCCATCCCACCTCCACTGCATCCTGGTCTTGGCCCAGTCATCTTGGGATGATGAGGGGAGGGCAACGACCTGAGGCTGGACCCCTGGAGCTAAGTGTAGCCCAAGTGAACATGTCCTCTGATGGGACTGGTTCAAAAACCTTGGCCCTGGCTACACCCATCCCTGCCCTTGAATAAGTCTGCTGCTGTGTCCCAGGCTGAGAAGCCTGCATCCTACGGGGCAGTGCACCTCCCTTCCAGTGTGCATCTCAGCGTGGGTCCACTCAAAAGAGGATTCAAGCTGTCTGTTGCCTCTCCCCTTCTGTCTAGCAATGGACTCAGGTTTCAGGACCAGCTGAGTCACTCTCAAAAATAAAGTCCGTGAACATGTATCTGCTGGGATCCCACATACACATATTGAACGTGAACACAGGAAGTGAGCAGGGTTTGAATTCAGAGAAAGACGTGGAGTCTAGACAAGAGGGGTGGGGAACTTGGTATCTACATACAAAGCACTGGAATGGAGACATTGAAGCTGCTTCTGGAAGTCACCGAGATGGCACCACTCAGGGCACCGCTATCCAGGGCACAGACAGGAGACCTGTGTTCTAGCACCAATGCTGATTGTCACTAGTTACCTCTATGACTTTCAGCAAGACATATTACTTCTCTGGACCTCAGTTTCCTTATCTGTAAAAAAAAAAAATGATACGTGGCAAACTCAATAACGCTCAATAAATGTTTGGTCACTGGATGAAAAAGGTAGACTGGATGCCACTCGAAGTATAGAACAGCCAATGCTTTTAGGACCAGAGAACTCTTTAGGCAGGGAGCTGCAGCTAGCCAGTAAGCAAGTCCTGGCATCAGATATAAGCAGATGCAGCGGCTCTGTGTACACAAAGGACACAGGTCCTCCCAACTGCTGCTGTCCCTAAGTAGGCAGCCATGTTCTGAGGCTCCTATTCAGCTGCTGTCAGAGGATAATTAAGGTCAGGCAGGAAAAGACTGAGGCCCCAGGGCCTGGTGGGAGGAGTCTGGTCCAAGACTAGTTCAACCAGGAGAATGAGACCAGTGGAGGGTGTGCCCCAGTCTGGAAAGCTCAGAAAGACTTGTCCCTGGAAGCTCTGTGAAAGGGGCAAAGCCCAGCTGGAGCTTACCTCTCCAAATATAACCCCATTAGGAGTTGGCTCAGGACAGACATTTGGGGCAACAGATGGGACCCAGGCATCCCCTCATGCAGTTGGTGGGTAACAAGGCCCACAAAGGACAGATGGTGTTTATGGTGGGAAGAGAGGCCTGGGCTATCCAGCAACCGCCCTACTACCACCCTCCACCCTGGTGCTGCCTTTAATAGCGTCATGGCAAGAGAAGACACAACAGGCCTCGATTTTATAAAACCAGTTTATTCACATTTTAGAAAAACTAGTTTGAGGACAGGAACTGGCCTTTCTACAACATGAGTGTGAGAAGAACAGTGGCCAGGAAACTTGAGGGAAGGTGGGAACAGGGGAGCCATGTCTCCCACACTAGGTGGGGACCGGTCAAATAAATTAAAGGAGGGCTGGACGGAGGGAGAGGGTATCCAGGCAACCAGAGGAGGGGTAGCAATGGCTGGAAGACAGCTGACACCTGCAAGAACTGGAGAGAGCATGTGGAGTTGGCTGAGGAACCGGTTCCCTTTGACCCTCACCCTGCTACGTGATCCTGCAGGACTGTGCTCGCTGCTTCTCTGCCAGATGGAGCCCAGGTACAGTTCAGCACAGGAAGCCTGAGGAAGACAGGGCTTGGGGGTTCCTTTCCCTCACCTGGGGCTACAGATCACCGCTTCCGCAGTCTCTTCATAAAACAGCAGGTAATGGTAGCTAGGACGCTGGCGCCAGTCACTAGGGCGACTCCTGTGCCCACCAAGAGGGGCACAAATAGGGTGTCCAGAGCTGGCAGAAAAGAAGATAGGCTCTGCTCAGAGAGTGTCACGGCCCTCCACCTGCTGTCAGGCTGGTCGGCAGGTTTTCTAGACTCTGCCCTCCCCAAGGGAGAGCGCCATGCCTGCCTACCCACAATCTACCCTCTCTGTACTCAGGCAGGCTTGGGGCTGTTTATGCAAAGGGATGTGGAAAAAGGATACCAAGGGAAGACAGGAAGATGGAAAGGGGCAAACAGAGCAGGAGAAGGTGGGCAGGGAGTGGTTGTCACTCACCATGCGTGTAGGGGTAGACTGTGACAGGTCCAGAGCGCGCACTGCCTGCCTGGTACCAGCTATAGTCAGCATGCTGAACCCAGGCACTTGGGGAACAGTGGTATATGCCTTCATCCTCGGGCCCCAAGCCGTGCAGTCTTAGCCGATGACTTCTGGGTCCCACCAGCTCTACACTGACGGGACCCCCTCCAGGCCGGACTCCCAGCTCTGCCACACCGTCCTGACCTACTCCACCCACAAGCTGAGCAGGACCAGAGCTCAGCTCGCCCTCCTCTGGTCTCTCCACCCACCAGCTGGCTGCTAGTCGCAGTCCTGGGGGGCCACCCCGTACAGAGATGTTGCATAGCAGGGAGGCGGTCTCTCCCCGGTACACAGTGCCCCCTGCTAGCCACGCCACAGCCTCTAGCACCCCCCCTGCAGAGCAAAGAACAGGGGGGGGGGGGGGGGGGGTGTTACAGGGGCTAAGAGGTTAGGAAATAAATCCTATAAGCTCTGAACCCTGTCGAGGGCTCAACATCCTCTCACCTTCTTCTCTCACATGCACTGGGAGAGGCCGGGAACGAGCACTGGCTGCCTCACGAAGCCGGGTCCCAGACCCTCGAACATAGGCTTTGGCGAGGCAGCGGTAGGTGCCTGCATCAGTGGGCCTGGCAGCCTCCAGCCGTAGTCGGTAGGTTCTGGATGCCACTTTCTCCATGGCAATGTGCCTGTCCTCATAGCCAGGGCCCAGGCTGCCTATACCTTCTGTGTCCAGCTGGGCCACTAGGCGGCCAGGCCCCGGAGCCCCTGCAGGGGCCATCTCCCAGCCCACCGAGTACGCAGCATGACGGCCTGGTGGGGGCAGGGCTCCCGACACATTGCACAGCAGTTCCAAGGGCTCCCCTGGGCCAATCCGACGTTCACCAGGTCCCACTGTCACTGCCAGCTGGCTGGCTGAAACACAGCAAGAGATGGGGGGAGTCATAAAGACGCCCGGGTCCTCCCGGGTCCTCACCCATAATTCCTCTTTGCAGAAATTTAGAGGCCTCACCCCAGTACCTGAATTTCACCCTTCCACAATAGATAGCCCTTTGTATCTCCACATCCAATTTTTTTTGAGCAGAGGAGAGATAGACAGAGAATGAATACTGTCTTACAAGACTGCTTATTCTCAGGAAGAGAAACTCTGTAGTTTGACGGTGGCCGTGCGGCACCCCTGAGATACCCTTCAGTGGGACATGTGGCACTCACACAGTGTCTGCACATCCACATGAGCCAGCACTGCCCTCTTCTCTGCGACCTGGACCCAGGAGCCATCAGGATCCTGGATCCACTCAGCGGCAGTACAGTGGTAGGTGCCTGAGTCTCCGGCCTGGGCACCCCCAACCACCATGCGGTACCGATCAGTCCCTTCCTTGCTCAGCCGGAGCTCTCCAGCAGCCAGCCTTTCCGCGTAGGGAGCTCCAGCCTCCACAGCCATGTCGGAGCGCAGTCCCACTACCTCCTGTAGAGTGGCTCGCCCCACTGGGGCCTCAGGAACGGCCCTCCCAAAGGATACCGACAGGTGCGTGTGTTTCTTTGTTTTGGTCTGAGCCAGGCAGCCCAGTGCAAGCTCCTGCCCCTCGTGCACTGTGAGGCGTGAGGGGGAGGTTGCAGCCTGGCGTCCTCGGGGCCCTGGGGGGGCAGCAGACACCTGCAGCTCATCTGGAAGAACTGGAGAGAAAGGCTTTAGTGAGAGAGGGCTGGGAGCCAGCCTGTTTCCTGTGTAGTCTACTTCACTGCATACTCTGTAGGCTCCTGAGGGCAAGAACTGCGCACTGTATCTTTCTTTTATACCTCAGAGATGCCAAGCCTGGTCTAGGCACATCAAGACATTCAGTAAATACTTACTAAACTTCACAGAACAAGCCTACTGACATCTACTCTGATGTCTGAGACTGAACGGTTTTAAATACTCAGAAAAGTAATTCTGTCTTCCTTCTCTAAAGATAAAGAGACTGGACCTGGTGGTGCAGGCCTATAATCCCAGCTACGCAGGAAGCTAAGGCAGAAGGATCAAGTTCAAGGTCCATCTGGGCTATAGAACAAGTGCAGTGCCGGTCTGGTCAACTTAGAAAGTTGACCTTCATCCTATCCCCCACCCCCACCCCCCAAAGAAAGAAGAAACTGCTGGAAAGGCAGGCTTGATGGCACTGGGGCAACACAAGAAGACTGCTGGGCTACACAGTGAATCGTGGGAGTATTGCCACCAGCTACAGGCCAACCTAGGCTAGTTGTAAGCCAGTCTGGGCTACAAAAGTGAGCCCTCAAAAAGCAACACAGAGTATAGAGCAGCTTAGTAGAGAGTAGTTCCCTTGGTATGTTTCACACTGTAGGTTCAATCACCAGTACTGAGAAAAGGGGCTGGAGGAAGAAGAGGAGGAGGAAGAGGAAGACAGAGAAGGAGGAGGAGAGAGAAAACATAGATCTGAGCGTGCTGGCTTATGCCTACAACCCCAGTACTTGGAAGGCTAGCTCACCACCCAGCTCAGAGCCCAGTACCTCTCAGCTCCACCCTGGCACTGTAGTTGCCCAGGTACTGACTATCCGTAGAGGGGGTGTAGCACTCATAAAAGCCAGAGTCCTGGGCCTGCAGGCGAGCAATCTTGAGTACCACGGAATCTCCCTTCAGGCGTTGCACTTGCAGGTCACCAGATGCCACACGAGGCCCAAAGACAGCATAGGAGAACTGGCTATCCCTGGTGCTGACGATGCCTAGTGACGTAGCTGGGGCCTCTGGTCTGTACATGAACCACTCGAAGTCCTGCTGGGAAGGGCCCTCATAGTCACTCACATTGCAGGAGATAGAGACAGCGGTGCCAGCCACTCGGTAAAGAGGCCCCTTGGGGACATGCACCTGCCGGGCGTAGCACCTGGCTCCTGTGGGGAAAGGCAGAAAGAGCTAGAATCCTTTTAGAAAGAATAGGTCCCAATTCGATGGCCAGTATCATCAGCACCATTCCTGACTGCTGCCTGTGAAGGAAAGAGAAACCTAAGGAAGGTTAGAACACAGCTGGGCATAAGACACAGATGGGAATGCAGAAGAGCTGCTGGGACACAAGACAGCAGCATCTTAGCACACCAGCATAGGTTCAGATCCACCGGAACAGAGGAACAGACGAATACTCTGTCTCTAGCTAACCAGAGGCAGAGCACCTACATGAACAAAAGAGTCCATCTGGAGTCTGGGGTATAGACCTCCCAATAAGTAAAATGCTTTCTGAGCAAGCATCAGGACCTGAGTTCAATTCCCTGGAACTATATAAAAAGGCTTGGCATGGTGGCTGGTAAGTCCCACATAAGCCTGAGTTTCATCCTCAGAATATACAAGGGAAGAAAAGGGGGCTGGAGAGATGGCTCAGCAGTTAAGAACACTGACTGCTCTTCCAGAGGTCCTGAGTTCAAATTCCAGCAACCACATGGGGGTTCACAATCATGTATTATAATGGGATCCAGTGGCCTCTTCTGATATATCTGAAGGCAGCTACAATGTACTCACATAAATAAAGTAAATAAATCTTTAAAAAAAAAAAAACAAGGGAAGAAAAGAACTGAGTCCTGAAAGTTGTCCTCTGACCTACACACACACACACACACACACACTAACAAATCATAGTAACAAATACAGTAATAAATACAGCTCCTGAGCAATGGCCCCTGAGGTTGACCTCTGACCTTTACACAGACACATATACACACTTGTATCCATGCATATATGTAGACCCTCATAGGCATGCAATTGGAAATAATAAATAAGACCATGTCGGATTCCTGACTCTCCAGTTCTTGGCTGGATCTTTATCGCTCCTACCCTGCCATGCACGGCTAGGGACTCAGAGGTAACGCCTAGCTAAGGGATTCTGAGACTTTTGCTAGAGAGGAGCTGACAAAATCTTACAGAAAGACTGCTTGGCTTAGCTCTATCACCTGGGCTAGACAATGGAGCCAGTGGCCCAGGCTGGCTGGGATACTGCACTGGATGGAGCACCATGCTGGACAGGGCACAGGCCTAGTCAGTCCTCACCACACAATACCCTCCCCACTACAGCTGTGCCATGAGCTCACTGCTTCTCCCAGCCCACTGGGCTACTCAGGCAGCTGTGGCTTCTAGGGCAAGAATCAGGCTCTGCCCAGGCCTGAGGCAGAAGATCCCTTCCCCGCCCCCAAAATCTGTTAGCCTCCAGGCTAACCCAGATGCACTATGCACAGCCCCCCCCCCCAAACAAAAGCTTTCATTTACATATGATTTGCCTATGGTGTGAACATTTACATAGGCCTCCTTTCTGTAAGGAGACTCTAAACACCAGCTGCCCCTTCCCCTCTCTTTCTCCTCCCCCTCCCTCCACCCATTTTACCCCCACCCCTGTCCCAACAGACAACTGGTTCCAGAACCTTGGAGTGTTTAGCTCCTTTCTTCTCTCCACCATTTCATAGCTACTTCTAGGTGAGACTACACAACCCTAGAATGCAAGGAGGGCTGGCAATAGTTTCTCAGATGAGGGAAATGAAGAAACTCTCCTAGAGAGCATCCCTAGGGAGCACTGCCACTAGGTTCTAAACCCAGATGTGAGTCTAGAATTCTCTCCTTGCTCTCCTACACAACACAGACAGGCCTGGCTGGGGATGGGGGTGGAGAACCATCTCTCTTCTAGATGAGACGTTCGGGCCACATCCCTGCCCTCTCTGGAGGGCCTCTACACACCCCTGAAGAGGGACAAAACCAAGAAGGCGAGGCACTTCCATGGAGAGCCCTGATTTACGAAACTGTAATTTCCCAGATTCCCAGGGGGAAGTCCACAGCTTGCTACTGGCCCTGGAGGAAACCACCCTGGAGCCTGACAGCCTGCCCTACAGTTCTGGCTCCTTTTCTTCCTCTTCTGGCTACGTCACGCAGAGAACACATGACCACCCCTTGAAGCAGAGGCTAGAGTCAGAAAGCCAACATGGAACCAATTTTTTCCTCTCCTGGGTCTCAGTTTCTGTCCTTCAGAACTAAGAGCTTCCAGTTCTGATGTTGAACCCGTGAGTGTGTGACTCAGGCACACACATATCACTCCAGGCACATTTCATAATCAGGAGGATGGTAAAGGTAGCCAAGCTGACACCATCCTGGCTGTCCATGGGTAGACTCTGCTGAGAAGGTCCCCTCCCACCTTCCTGGCTCCACACATGCTGTTGCTTGTAGATCCACATGGGAAAGTTGTCCCCACAGCCTCAGGAAGTAGGCTGCTACAAGGTTCTCTCTGGCCAGGCCACCTCCTTTCTAATAGGCAAAAGTCTGCTTTGGAGTCAAATCCGAGTTCAAATCCAACCCCTACCCTCGCTGGATACGAACTCTGGAACGTGATACTTCACATCCCTCATCTGTGAAGTGAATGCCAGTGCTGAATGCAGTGGGCTAAGATGCCATTTGGCTCCTCTAAGATGGCATTCGCCCCTGTGCAACACGCCCTCCTCCCAACCTTCCCTGGGCTCACTCCTGCTCCATTAAGCTCACTGGGGAAAAGAAGCAATCGCTAGGCAACCAAGCCCCATGGCTCCTTCAGCTCCCTACAACACTCTGCCTCCTGTTCTGTTCCCAAAGGAGAGTTTTCATCCTGGCCCCAGAAGCTCAAGGAGCAGCATCAAGGAACCATTCTGTAAGGCACCATGCGGTTCTGTTATAAACCAGAGAAGGAAGTTGGGGTGCCTGCCCCACAGGCTTCTGCCTTGACTATAGCACCTTAGAAACCTCCCCATATTCATATCCTTAACACACACACACACACACACACACACACACCCCTTTCAAGGGCTTCAGTCTCTCCTGGCAACTGCTTCCATGCCATATCTTTCCCAGACCACCTCCTACAGGAAGCCCTCCAAGTCGGACCTCAAACAATACCACGTTAGCAACCTCCACCACCCTCAACACACACACACACACACACACACACACACACACACACCAGCCATGATGCAAGGTTGTTGGCCCAGAACACACACCATCATAAACACCCACCAGGATAGACACTGGGTGCTTGGAGATCCCAGGTTCAGTTTCCATGGTGCCTGGTGTCTCCTGAGGCATGGATGGAGAGACCACCTGAGTCTGACAACCAGCCAAATATCTGGGAGAGTGGAAGGGCAAAGAGGGAACTGGCCCAGGGTGGAGACACGTGAGGGAGGAAGCCTCGGATGGTGAAATGTTATGTTGGGAGGTGGGGGTGTAGGGGAGATTTTCTTCAAAGATCGTGGTCAGAATCAGCCCCTGGGCCCCCAGCCAACTCTGGGCAATTATGAAGACCGCCAGGCACTGCCCACGCAGAACAAACACCCAAAACCAGGCCTTGAGCCGAGAGTGAGGAAGAAGGTTGTCACAGTATTTGGGCGCAACGACCCCAGGCGCTGAGTCTAACAAATGAGAAGTGGCGCCTGCCTCCGGAGGCCCGATGGTGTCTCAGGGGATACCTCAGTAGGTCGCCAATATACCCCAGCTGGGAGCCTAAAGCAAGGGCACCACCACCCTCCCCATAACTGATCGGGCAGGCAGGCGCAAAAGGAAGCGAGACGCGGAGCCCAGAGACAGTGGAGACACGTCTGATGGAGAAGTAGGGGTGCAACCAGCTCTGAAATGCTAGGAAGGTGGGCTGGTTGGCTGCATGGTGTCAGCACCTTCCCGGCCGGGACAGGGACGTGGCGACCACCCGGCTTACCAAGTATTAGCAGCAGCAACAGCAGCAGCAGCGAACTCAGCGGCGTAGGGCTAGGGACGCCCATTCTGCGAAGGCGGCTCTGGGGAGACTCCTGGGGGTGGCGTGGGCTCTGGGGGGCCAGGGCCGCGGGGGGCGCATGCCCAGGTGGGGGGGGGGGGTGCAGAAAGCGGAGCAGTGAAGCGTGGGTGCGCAGAGCCCAGCCGAGCGGGAGCCGCCAACTCCCCGCCCTCCTTCCTTCTTCCCCTCCTCCCGCCGCTCTTCCCGCCCTCTGCAGCTAGGGAGACCAGTCCAGGCCGCGCCCCGCTGCCCGCCCCCGCCCCCGCCCCCGCCTCGCCCCGCCCCTCCCCGAGCCGTCGCCTAGGCCAGACTTCGACCCTGACGGTGGCTCCGCCTCTGGCCGCAGGCTGAGCGAACTGGCGGCACCTCGGCTCCTCTACCCACACCCACCCTCGCTCAGAGGGCACCCCGCCCTGCACCTGCCAGCCTTTCCGGGAGAATGGGGTACTTGCAGGGCCTCTGGGTCTGGATGATGTGGTGACTGTGATTACGCACTTAGAATCCAGTTGGGTGATGTGGGCCACTGAGTCCTGGCAGCAAACCCTGCTGATTTATGTGGCCATAGCCTGACCCAAGATTTCGTGGACGTGAAGCGGACCCAAAGGGGCTTCAGGGCCCTGGAAGATCACTGGAAACCTGTTGTAATACCCGATCAGAAGGCAAAGCGAAAGGGAAGTGGGTTAGCCGTCCAGACTTCCTAGCTGGAAGATCCTTGTTCAGCCTAACCCCTTCAACCTCACTTTTCCTCCGCGTCACTTACGGAACAGAGATTGTAAACACTCAAGGAGTTACGGCGATTATTAACTGAGATCATGCACATACGTTTGTTGCACACGGTAACTATGGGGGTGTTCTGTTTTTTAGTTAAACTGCTTTCTACCAATTGGAGTCTCCAATGAGAAGAGATGAACACACCTCTTTTCTGGGAAGGGTGGAGCTAGCCTGGAGGTAGGGAAAAGGAAGAAGAGAAGCCTCTTCCCACTGCTGCGTCTCCAGCTGTGAAAAAGGCGGAGAGTAGGGTGGGGCTAGAATGGGGAGAAGGGACGGCTCAGCCAGCAAAACCAAGACTGTGGAAGTGGCCATTAGTGGGAAGTGGGCTAGAACACGTCTAGATCCTTCACCTCCATACCCTGCTTGTCTCTCTCACCCCTGCTCCCTCACTTACTGCTCCCTACTGAGAAAACTGAGGCACAGACAGGAAAAGTGACCCAGGCTAGCACTGACTTCCTATTCTCAGAGGAAGTATTCGTGGGGCTGCCAGTGGAAGCCACGTTCAGTGATCGCAGAGAAACACTGATAGGGTTTGGGAATCTATGGGGAAGTCAGAACTCCAACCTTGCCTAGCAAGAGGCTAAGGGACATGCTGCTTGTCACCTGGATGTATCCCAGCCTGGTTTCTTCACACTCTCTAGAAGCCATGTTAATCTATGTGAAAACTGCAAGCTACAGGGAGACTTCGGGAGAAAAATTCTCCCTTTAGCTGGAAGTTGACTGGATTGAATGCCTTCCTGGTACTGGTTTGAAAGTCAGTTATCATTATCACCACTGTCACACCATCATCATCGAAGCCATTTATGCAATGGTTACACAATAACACCACCACCACCTGTAGACATTCTTTCTAAACTTTACAGATTATTTTACAAGACAAAGTCATTTAACACAAGAGAGACCTGAACTTTAAAAGCAGTTAGGTGTCTTGCCCAAGGCCACACAGATTTTAAGGTAACTAAAGTGTTACTTTAAAGCTCAGGTCTGGTGTGCACACCTTTAACCCTAGCTCACAGGAGGCTGAGGCAGATGGATCGCTATGACTTCCAGGCCAGCCAAGGCTACATAGAGAGATCCTGTCTCAAAACAAACAAAAGAGCAAAACAAAACAAAGCCACAAAACCTCAGGCCTGACGGTCCCCATATTTTCTTGTACCCCACTGTTCACTCTGTTCAGGGCAAAAACTCATTCATGTAGGGAACACTGAGCCAGCCAGACCTTGTGCTGGATTTAAGTAGTGCCCTAGTCAGCAAGGCTTTCAAGGTCTCCAACTCTCAGGGATATCCTTCGTGTGCTGAATATACAAGTAACAGTCAGCACACGGTATAAGCATTATGGGATGGAGTGGGAGGAGTCCTCTTCCAGGAGCTTACCTTGTAGCGTGGGACAAAGGGACTCCCATGCCAGTACACAGTGCTTAGGGGCTGGACTAGGAGAAGGCTTACACAGCCCTCCCAAGTCTGTGCAGTCCAGCAGTGGCCAGCAGAGGGAGCCCAAAGTCCAGGACTGACTCACTCCTAAGATGCTTATGTAACTGGGAAAGTTGGGGGAGGGGAGTAAGCGCCAGTCACGAGGCACACCACACGCAGGCACATGGCTCCACTGAACCAAGGGGCTTCACACAGAAAGGTATTGCTCACACACCCAGCAGGACAATGCTCAAACACACCCAAAAGCGGCAAAGGAGGGCCAGATCAACGTCAAAGACTGGAGGGCACCCCGCACTCAACACAGACTTATGCAGTATAGAGACTGGTGTCCTGGGGTGGGGTGAGCCAAAAAGGAAGAGAGCTTTCCAGATAGTCTCAAGGTCAGACTGAAGCATGGGTAGAGAGGAGGCCTGAGACTGTAGGGGCGTGGACACTGTAGTGACCATTGGGTGGTCACTACACCATCACACCAGATTCCCACCCACAGTTCCATGTACTGCCACGTGTGGGCAGACGTCAGTCACCCATCTTGTTCCATATGGTTATTTAACTCATTCTGCCACCAGATGGCATGTGTATGAGACATCTAGGTTACAGTTAGGTGTCGTGAGTATCGTTTAGAGGTAATGAAGACCCAAGGTCAGCCTGAAACAGTTATAATTTGGCTGAAATGTCATATGCTAAAGTCACAACCAAGGGGGCAATGCCCCTCAGAGAGAAGCATGTTCAAAGACAAGATGGCTGAGGTGACGTGTTCTGCCCCAGCAGGCTCTGTAACAGGATATGATTTCGTTTTCCCCAGAATCTGTGAGGTTAGCACTTGTCTCTATAGAAACCCGAGGTATGGAGGACCTAAGGCATGCTAGACTTGCTGTCCAGTGTTGGCTTTCTTGGAGTCCAGATTTGAACTGGGATCCTGTAGCCTGTTGCGTTGTAAAATATCACAGAGAAAAAGAGAAAAGAAACATAAGCCCAGCACAGGCACACACATGTGTGCTGTGGGACAGCATGTGAGCATGTGAGCTATAGAGACAGGTATTGCTGAAGCAAACTGACAAGCACACCAGCCACTAAGGTAATGAGAAAACGACACAAACACACATATAGTCTCTCTCTCTCTCTCTCTCTCTCTCTCTCTCTCT